TATCCTGCGCGACGACCGATGCAGTATGAAATTATTTTTTTATTTTGTGTTAATTATTGATAAGCGTCACCCGACAGGCGGTTAAAACCCTTCAGCCTTATCTGACAGGAAGGTCTAGTGGAAAAAGTAGTCATACTCGGATGAGCTCAGTACTTTCATCAAGGAGTTTCGCAGTTCGCAGCCAACCTGTGTCCGAGTAAACGGGTCACTTTCTTAGCCTGGTCCGTAATTACCAACATTCAACGCTGTTCCGTAATTCTATTCTCTCTATTTCATACCTCTGATAACGACCGATATTGTTCAACTGACAATCCGATTCACAGTTACCGATAACATCATTCTCGATCGCTTCCATCTTGCCAACACCAACATGAATCGTCACTATTGTGCTCTCTTCGTAGCCCGTATGTATTCTGATTCTGCATACACCTCCATCTGAAGCCCCGCTAGCCATGCTATCTTCAGATCTTTCAGGAATTACCTTACGGTCATTTCGTTTAAGCATCAATCTCTCTCTCTCACGATTGGCATTTCGAAGCTATTTTTATTTAATGTAATTATTATTATTATTATTATTACTATAGAGTTTCCATTAAGGGCTTTTTCTTTAGGCTTCGATCAAGGATTTTCCCTGGGGCAACCGAAGTGAGGAACACTCGACACAGCCTTCTTCTGTTTCTCCTTACACCCACAGCCTTTCAATCAAGAAACAGAATTAAAAAAAACATATCGTCAGAGTAACGTATACCTTTTAATAATAGGGTTTATCTCCATTTTTGTACATCCTGGCCATCAAGCAATGAAAAAGTCTAAAAATTTCATGACTAAATAAGTGTTCGCATTGTTAAACAGAAGACTCGATGTGTGCGCTGTTTAGTTGATATTCAATTTATAAATAAGCATTTCAAACCTGCAAGAACCATAAACACGAGTGGTATACATTCTATTAGAAATCACGGCAATTCCGATCTAATGTGCTCGCCACAGTGATTAGCATAATCGGACGATTTTGAGATGACAAAAGTGGATCGAAGATCAACAAGATTGTGCAAGTACGATAAGATTACAAAAGAGTCAGTCGGAGCAAGTATGTTGATGCATTCCTCTGAATGCCAATGGACGTCTGAGTTAAAAATGAGTTCAATTTTGTTTTTTTTAGGATGACAGACATTAAAATTTACCATATTCACCATATACCAGAGCAATAATTTGTCCCACTCAAAATCAATTGCAGAAAATTTGCCACGCAAGTGCAAGAATACCCATGG